CTTCGTCGTCGCCTCGACGATCCTCGTCACCTCGACGATCCTCGTCACTTGCCGGCCGAGCGGCTCGCCGCGCTACACGACCGACCAGATGTGGTCGAGCGCGCCGCAACCATCGCCCACTCGCCCGACGGCTTCCTGGCCCTCTGGAAAGAAACTGGCGCTCTCCGCCTCCGCCCCGCCCACCCCACTGGAGCAGGGCGACGCTGCCGACTCACTGGAGCAGGGCGACGCTGCCGATGCCGAACATGGTCCGAAGACCGGTGACCGGGCGCAGAGGACGCACTTGCTCACGTGCTCGATGCGCTCCCGGTCGTTGCCGACCAGGAAGGTGACCTTCCCCTCTGGGAGGGTGACGTCGCCCCACGACGCCATGTCGGCGGAGAAGGTGGAGGACGGGCGGAACGACGATCGGGGCAAAGGAGGGAGGCGGAGGAGGCGTTGTTTAAAGTACGTTGTGGGGGGGGCGGGGGCGGAGGGCGGGGGGGGGGGGGAGATTTGGGCGGTTGACTTCAACCATACTCCATAGAGATCAGTTTCCCGGGGCTCCAGGCCCCAAAAGCCAAATGCTGTGTGAGTGTTAGAGTTGTTTGGTATTGCTAAACATCTCTCTCTCAGACTCGAAGAGGAGTGATTTCTTGTTGAAAGCACAGCCAGCGCACAGCGTATCTGCGATACACATATCTCAGTCTATCTCGTGTGTGTCTCGCGCCTCTTGCTCAGTCGTTCTTCAAACGGCCATCGCAGAGCAGATTGACTGAATGAGCTTGCCTGCTGCGGGCTGTCGAGTTCACGGAGAGAAGTTCGTGGGAGTTTTGAAAGAAATCTGAATTTCACGGTCGACGGTCTTCTCAGCGGCGCCTCATTGCGGCGACTGCTTCACCAGGCGCTGCTGACTGATCCGAACGAGGTCAGGTCCGTCCCGCGAGAGAGCGAGCCGGCCCTCAAGCCCCTCGCGCCAGAGCCCCTGCCCCTCCCGCGAGCCGCGCCCACTCCTCCGTTTGGCCGCGCCCCCCTTCAAGACACACCTCACCCGCGCATCGTCGCGCGCGAGAGTTTTGCCTCGGCCTCTCCATTGCTTGCAGAGGGACTTGTGTGGGGTGCGCTCGCCGAGGCACGCGATCTGCGGCCGTGCACAGACGCGCGGCGGTCCCTCCCCCCCCGCAGCACCTCGCCAGCCCCAACAGCTGGCTGTTGGCGCCCTCTCTCTCTCGCCGCCGCCCCTCTCGGCAAAACGCACTTGCAATACACATCCCGCAATCCGGACCGCCGCCTTGCCCCGCGCGGCTCGGTTGCCCCCCGCTTCCAGCTCCTCCCTCTCCCCCCTCTCCTTCTCGGCCCCCATTTCCTCCTTCCTTTCGCAGAGTGTCGCGACACGGCAAGCCGCAACGACAACACACTCA